CATGGGGGTATTTTTTTTTTTCCCCTTGCGAAAGGTTATTCTGTGCTTTTGCTGGTGTACAGGGTGCGGATAACCAAGGAGGAAGAGGACGTTCAGATTTTGAAACCGTAGGACAGATCACGGGGGCAGCTCTGGGAGAAGTAGTCACGAGTGAAAAAAGTGAATTGAATGCCATTAGCTTGGCAAATTCCCCTTTAGGGCATTTTTACAGTGCCTAGGTATGAAATTTCTGATACTGGCCTGACCAGTTAGAAAAAGCCAGTGGAGAAAGTGAGACAACAGCAGAGCTGTAACATGTTTGTACAGGTCACTGTTAAAATTGGAAATTTCTCGAAGAGTAAGTGCTTCGCTACTCTGCTTTGAAAACGGTGAAGAGCGGGGTTATGCTGTTTCCCTAAACACCATTCAGTTTCCGGATGTGACCGGTGTAGGTGAATCTTGTCATTGCTGTGACCTATCTGCAGTGACAGGAGGACCATTTCTGCCCTGAAACACCCCAAGAATGTTCACTGCTTTGCATCATCACAGTGATTTGTGTTTCAGACTTTTTGAAGAGCCAAGAGACACAGTGGATGTGGCAGAGAAAGTCACTGAATCTCATCTACAAGTCTCTGCATTAAGTTGTTCTGCTTGTAACTAGCCGGGGCTCGGTGCGCAGCAGCCAGTCATAAAGTCTGAAGCTATTTCCTGGTCCCGCGGAGCTGAAGCTGTGGATCACTTCGTTGATCTCAAATAGGAAACCTTATTTTTGGCAACTGTTCTTCTAAGAATGCAGAGGAGTAAACAATGCGATTGCCATACTCCTCAGCATTTTCATTAGGGGATGTGGTTAAGTTTCCACAAAAATACCCCAAGCCAACTAACACAAGACAATCAAATACAATGTTTTTACAGCTTATTTTAAATTTTTTTTTTTTTTTTCACTTTCCAAAGCAGCACAATTTACATAGCCTTCACTTGAGCTCTAGGCACTGAGAACAATTAGGCTCCTGCTGTGATTAGAGGCTTCTTGCCAAGTCGATGAATCATGTCACTTGCCAGAAGCAGTTACCACACCTGCTTGGGATCTGTGCACCGTTTGGAATGTGGTGCATCAAACAGGCTGAAGTAAAGAGCTCGAACTCACGGACATTCAGGGATCGCTTACTTTTAAACAGGGTTTGCAAAATACTGGTAACTGCTGCCGTTTTGGAAAGGACGTGTCTGTGGGACTGATTTTTAAATGCAATGACATCAGCAGTGCTCTTGCTCATGACGTCAACTCTGTGCATACTTGCGAGGCCAAACTTATAAAGCTTAAATGCAACACACGCAATTCTCCAAGGAATTAAAGGCTGCAACACTGCTGTGAATGGCTCTGTAGTAGTATAAGAAAAGGACAATTTCTTTTTATAATTAAACTTATCCTTAGCTATTAAGAATTCAAATGAGTGCGATTTTTAAATATTCACAGTTCTTTTAAAGCTGCCAGTAATGGCAGCGCCTGGGCCTGTTGTGCTGGGGGCTCTGGGCACCTTCACTACAAAAGTGTCAAGGGGGCAACCAAGAGGGGCAAAGTTGGGCTTGTGAGGCTGGGGGATTTCAGCACAGCTCAACCCTCCTCCTCCTTCTTTTCTTTATGTTCTCTGTTAGCTCAGAGCAGTGCTCCAGCCAGGTGCTGCATGTGGCTCTAACACTCCCCGAGCTGCTCCAAGGAGCTGGCTGGACAGGAGCCAGCCCCAGCCAGTGAGGTGTGGGCTTGTCCCACCCACAGAGGCACCTTTTCCCTGTCCTGCAGCCCACGATCCTCACAAACGTCAGCCTGCGGGTCACAGCTCAACGCCTGCCTCCCTGCACTCGCCCAGAAGGGCCTGTGGGACTGGCTCTGCCCGGGGTCTCCCGTAACCCCCCCAGGGCTCCCGAGTAATTTGTCAGCAGAGGTTTATCTTGTCTGTTTTTTCAGGTGTGGGTTGGTTTTTTTTGTTATTCCTTCAGATTGTGCAAATATTGCTTGGAGCAGTCCAAAAGCAAGTGTTTCATCAGAGTAGCAGAGCGATCTTCATCGGATTAGCAGTGCCAATACACGTCACTGTGAAATGCCATTGTACTGAGGTGAAGGCTTCTGATTTGAAACAAATGCTGCGAATAAGAAACTGTACCTAGGGTACCAACTGTCAGGATCATCCCAAATTAGTTTGGTTTAATCTGAAGTACCCACATCCTTCATGGTGCATGAAAATTCTGTGGTTGAACTTGGTACCCCACGGTTACCTCCCTTGGGAAATAACGGTGCCACTACCAGCGCCTCTGGGCTCCTGCCGCAGCAATGACTGTGCTGTTTTGGCAGTCTGAGCCCAGCCAGGCCCTTGTGAAACACATCCCAGCCTGGGAGCCTCACACCAACGATTCACAGAATGTAAGCCCTTCGGCACGCTGCCAAAACACCTGCACCCTCGTCAGGAAAGATGAGCCCTAAGGCAGCTAAAGAGACTGACTTGTCCTTGGGGTTTACCTGGCACTGCTGCAGTGCGGATCGCCACGTGCTGGCACTCAGCTATTTATGTACGAGATCAAAGGCTGTCAGATATGCCCATAGCGTGTTTGGGCTGCCCAGGTTAACTTGCCTTAGATATTGTTACCAGTCCTCCAGCTCCCCATTCATCTCGTTTGATCGCTGAACACAACACAGGCAGGATTCAGTTGCATTTTACTTCACGCACCCAGTGGCAGATAAGGCACAGACAAAATGACGTCAGCATGTTTTGCAAGAGCTCTCGCTGCCTTCCCGGGCTGCAGTAACAACATACTTACATTGTTCAGTCTCTCATTTCCCTTCCTTTTAGAATATGCAGCAATAAACTCCATGCTGGACCAGATCAACTCCTGCTTGGATCACCTGGAGGAGAAGAACGATTATCTACATGCCTGCTTGAAAGAACTGCTGGAGTCCAACCGCCAGACCCGCCTAGAGTTCCAGCAGCAGAGTGAGCAGCAGAACACGGAAGCTGATGTGCAGGGATCCCAGCCTCCCATCTAGCGTGCTGGCCACAAACTCTGTTGGTATTGCTAAGGGGACATTTACCAGTGACTGATTTAAGAGCTATGTCCTGCCTGTTACCTGTTCCTTTCTGTGGTTGTGTCCCACCATTCACCTCCATGTCCTGTTTTTATTGAGCTGTGTGATGGGTGCACACTGGTGGGTGTAGGGCAGTTGGGTCTTTTCGCTCCCCAACACGAGCCTGGCACTGACACTTGGTTAAAGCTGGTTGTAGGAAACCTGATGCCATGCAGGTTGTTTGCAAGCAGGCCCTCTTCACAAAGAGGAAAAACAATCTACTCTTTTGCACTGTTAGATCCAAGCAAGTAGCATTACGGCTCTAGCCTCTTCCCTCAAAAAGCACTGTAGGCAGGGGCTGTCCTGACTCCAGGCTTGCCCTGGAGTAACTCTGGTGACGGATTTTGAGAGGGAGGCCCTAGGCCAGCTTCTGCCTTGAAACTACAGCTCCCCCATTATTCACATTAACTGTGATGTAAGAAACATTGGCAGATGGTCCCAGATCACTGGACTTTTCTGTCCCTTTCCAAGACAAGCTACCTGGGTGGTGGTTTTGACTGCTGTAATTGGAAGCTGCTATTAAGGACTCGGGCGTTAGAGAGGCAGAGCAGCCTGGTCAGCCCCCACCATGGCATTAGCTATATAGAGCAAAGAGAGAGAGTCCTGCCTGCCGTGGGCTGGGAGCAGAGTCCTCCCTGTACATTTTGACAAGAGTATGCATGAGCATTCTGGTCTGAAACTTTGTGATCTTGTCAGGATGGCCTGGGGCCAGCACAGTGCAGCAAGTCGTACTGTTCTACTTCTGTAGAGTTAAAGGAGTTTTTTTGAAAGTTAAAAAAAGTTATAAGAAATCTGTTTTATTAAAATCAGTTTGAAACAAATTTGTTCCTGAGAGTCTCCACTGTATTAAGCCTTGTAGTATTAACAAAGGATGAAGATGCACATTCTTGCCTAGCTTAGGACACAGTGCTTGTCCAAGAGTGTGCATCTTTGAAAGGAAACTGTTCTGAGGAGCAGAATTATTGGGCACACAGTCTCCCAAGAGAGAAACTTTTCCTCTGCCTGGAAAGGAAACTATGGGAACTACCAAGAATTCTTAGTAGAAAATAAGTCTGCATCCATCTACTTCATGAACTTTGTGCCCTGTGGAAATCACATTACCATCTTCTTTCAAGTTCAACAATCCAAGCCTCAGTCTTTCCAGATAATTGCTGTATCCCAACTGTACAAGTAATAACCAACACCATCCTGTATTAGACACGCTAAAGCCAGGCTTATTTTATTCTTAAAATAAAAACAGCAGTAAAGTTGAAGGGTTTTGCTCTATTAAAAGACTCAGAAAATAAACATTTCCAGCAAATACCATATGTAAAGAGGCTCTCCCTTTAAGGCCACTCTATCTGGGTTTGCGCCTAGTAGAGCGTCTGCACCCAGCAGAGGCAAGACTGGCTGTCTCACCTTTGGCTAGGGAGGAAGGCTCTGCCACTGCCTCCTGGCCTGTGTTTGCTGCCTCTTTCTGTCCTAAACTCCCTTCACTCCCTGGATCCTGGCGGTCGTCTGTGCCTTCCCTTTGCCTGGCTGCATTGGCTTCCTCCTCCTTAGACACAGTGTGTCCCAACAATTCCCCTACGGTGTGGTTCTCTTCAGGGAGTGGGCAATCGGCACTACTGGTAGGGGACTTGCTCTCTTCCTGTAGATTTTCTTCATCTACAACCATGATTCCACACACATCGTCAGTCATGCTGGCTAGGCTTTTGCCCTCTGCTACAGAGGTGGCCAGCTCACCCTTACCCTCCAGAGGCCTCGAAGCTTGTTCTTGCAGGGCTGACAGCTCTGTACTCTCCTTGTCTATACCATGATCATCATGCATCTTCTTGCTGGTATCTGCTGTTGTAGCAGGAGGCTGTTTCAGATCATCCAGCAATTGGGAGCTGGAGCCCTGGGAATGCAAAGGAGCCTCGGGGTAGGCAGCTGTGGCACGATGCCTCGCTGCCTTGTATCTCTGCAAATACAAACAAACCAACATGAGAGAAGTCCAGCTCAGCTACTGTCACTGCAGCAAGTAGCAGCTGGTCCAGGAAAACCTGTACAAAAACAGTGGTGAGTGGCAGCTAGAATCTGCAGGGGCACAACTTGTCTTGGCAGCTCTCCTGGCCTGGCTGCTGAGGCTTTCAAGCAGAGAAGGGTCAGCTCCTGTGAGGAAAAGTGGCAATATTAAAATTGGAAGTCCCTCTTGCATTACTTAATGCTGAGCGAGTGCATGGCAGACCTGTGGCTCCTGAGACAAAAATTTGGCAATCTCAGTCAGACTCAGGACTTTGTAGATGTAACAGTGCAAGTGACAGCTCTTGCTTCAGCTACTGCCAGGACATAACTCTGGACGTATACCCTGGATACATGAGGCTATGCAGTGCCCTCAGCTACAGAGGTGTGATTTAATGTTTATCAGCTGAAGACTTAAGTTGAAAGCTTAAGATTTTTCACTCTGCTGATACAATCTGTGCAGCCAGTGAAACTGTTGACAGGAACACTATGGTATCAAGAATATCTCCTTGTTACAAGGTACTGAGGTTCTCTACAGAATAAAGATAAGCATATTGTCAACAAAATGACTCATTTGCACTAGCTGTCATGCTGAACCAGTAGAGGTGTGTAAAGAGGCTACTAGCCATTTTCAAGACTGGATTTCAGAAAAACAGCAACTCTACATAGCTAGCTAACATACAGTAGGAATCTGGTCTTCCAGACCCAGACAGAGCAGGAACTAAAGGAATAAAGCAAAGCTCCCTCTTTTCTACAACAGTTTCCTCTACAATCAACTCACTTTCAGATTTCTGCTAAGGGGTCCCTTGAACTGGCACTAGCATCAGACCTGACAATTTAAGGAAACTATTCTGAGCGCACTGGCTTTTACCACTGCCTTAAGCACCACTACTGTAGTCTGCAACGTGGAATTACAGCACATCAGACAGGCAGCTTTACAT